TTTCTACTCCCATAAGGATTTACACCCTCGGAAACCCTATACAGCGTAGCTATGAGTCGGAACCGACTCGACGGCACTTAACAACAACAATCAACTGTAAAGGAGCTCTGGTAGCGTAGTGGTTATGAATCGGCTGCGAACCTTAAAGTCAGCAGTTCGAGACTACCAGCCACTCCGCGGGAGAAGATGAGGCTTTCTGCTCCCATAAAGATTTACAGCCTCGGAAACACTGTACAGGGTCGCTATGGGTCGGAACCGATTTGATGGCACTTAACAACAACAACAATCAACTGTAAGATGCTCTGGTAGTGAAGTGGTTACTATTCGGGCTGCTAAACTCAGGGTGATCAGTTCGAAACTACCAGCTGTTCCGCGGGAGAAAGATGAGGCTTTCTGCTCCCGTAAAGATTTACAGCCTTGGAAACCCTGTACAGGGACACTATGAGTTGGAACCGACTCCACGGCACATAACAACAACAATCAACTGTGCTCTTAATGGGACAATGTTTCTCAAACTACTGGTTCTATATCTTTTCCCCTCTGTCCCAACTCTTGAGGTCCAAAGAAGCTAAAAAGGTTATTAAGGATAAAAGAGCACTGCAACATCTCTCATTTATTCTTGGCCTGTAAACTGGTCTGAGGCTTTTCATTCTGTTAGTTGAAGCTCAAAAATATTCTGTAAAAGAGTGGATCCACATCCACTCTAAGTCCCTCTTGCTCATGGCCAACTGACAAGGTATTTTCCCTTGGATTCAAAACAAATGAACAAGAAATGTTAGTGGTAAACTTTAAAAACAAACGGCTTTAATATTAAACTTTCTGCTAGATCTCCAAAAGATTATGCAAACTCAGTGAGGCCAAGTGCACATAGGATTTGCCTTTGGGGCACTGTTCTAAGAGGCACATGGACTTTCATTTGAAGCTGCTCACAAAAGGCACAAACTATGTATGTGGTCTTGACAATGCATTCCTTTGAGTTTTAGTTTCAAGAGCCTTAAACACAAGAAGACCCTGTAACCAGCTAACAGGCCTCTCTCACTAAGGTTCAGCTAACACTGATTGAGTATTTACTTTACTACCTTCGCATGCTTGTTATCAATCAAGCGGGCACATTACATCTTACCACCCTTATTCTATAGGAGGAGGGCACTGAGACGTAGAGATGTGAAGTTTGCTGCCCCAGGAAGAGTAAGTGGTGAGGCTGCGATTGGAGCCCAGGCCTCTGTCTTTCATTTCGGTGTTTTGTTTACATCTCAACGATAGCTCCTCAGTTCTCGTTCTAAGGGGGTATAAGTGGTACTGTCTTGAGTTAAAATCAACTGCAATAGGCTTGTGTGCAGGCAAATTTTATTCAAGTATGTACACTTTTCCCCCTACTTGAGAATAAAGTGTAGACACCCTGTCCCTAAATATTTCATTATGGTTTACTAAGCCCAAGGACATTTATTGCAGTCCATGTAATTATCAAATAGAGGGAATTAAATATAGACAAAGTAACCCCTAGTATGCATGTGAAAGCTGGACAGTGCATAAGGAAGACTGTAGAAGAATTGATGCTTTTGGAGTTATGATGTTGGAGGAGAATATTGAAAGTGCCATGGGCTGCCAAAAGAACCAACAGATCTATTTAGCAAGAAGTGCAGCCAGAGTGCTTCCTGGAGGACCAGATGGCCAAACTTCATTCTCATACTTTGGACATATTGTCAGGAGGGACGAGTTGCTGGAGAAGGATATCGTGTTTGGTAAGGTGGAGGGTCAGAGAAAAAGAGGAAAACCCCCAATGAGATGGATTAACAGAGTGGCAGCATCGATGGACTCAAGCATGGTAACAGTAGTGAGGTTGGCCCACGATCGGGCAATGTTTCATTCTGCAGTGCATAATAAGGTCGCTATGGGTTGGTACCGACTCGATGGCACCTAACAACAACAAACAACAACCCCTAAACTAAGGAGCTTTGGTAGCGTAGTGGTTCCGAATCGGGCTGCTAACCTCAAGGTTGGCAGTTCGAAACTACCAGCTGTTCCGTGGGAGAAAGATAAGGCATTCTGCTCTCGTAAAGATTTGCAGCCTCAGAAACCCTATGTAGGGTCACTATGAGTCGCAACCGACTCCACGGTACTTAACAACAACCCTAAACCCACTGCCATTGAATTGATTTAGACTTACAGTGATCTGTAAGACAAACAGGTCCTAGTGTAACGCCTGTAGGATAAGCACTGGACTGTGAGCCACAAGCCTGGCAGTTCAGACCATCATGCTTTTTGGGAGAAAGCTGAGGCTTTCTGTTCCCATAAACATTTACAGACTCAGAAACCCTATACAGGGTTACTATGAGTTGGAGTCGATGTGACTGGCATTGAGTTTGGTGATAAGACAAGATAAAACTGCCCTCCATGCTGTAAATCTCTTTTTCTTTGACTCTTATGTATTTTGTTGTTGTTTGGAACATACACAGCAGAACATACACAAATTCAACAGTTTCTACATGTAGGAGGGGACTTTAGAAAAATGTCATTGTTTTTTCCTTCCATTTTTCTACGAGCTTTTTGAAGGTCCCTCATACATTTAGTGATACCGATTAAATTCTTCAAGTTGCATGACCATTCTCATCCTCCCTTTTCTGAAGGGCTGTAAATCATTTTGGAAGCAGACTGCCACATCTTCCTCCTGAGGAACAGCTGGAGGGGGCAAACCACTGACCTTTTGGTCAGCAGCAGAGTGATTTACCCACTGTGCCACTAGGATCCTACAGGAGTCCTGGTGTGGCACTGTAGAGACCATTTCAACTGCAGGGTTGACAGTTCAAACTCACCAGTCACTCCTCAGAAACCGTATACAGGGTCGCTATGAGTCGGAATCGACTCAATGGCACTTCATATTAATATTAACAATGTCTTCAAATTCCACCTATTGTCCTAATCATACACTTCAGTGTCTTTTCTCTTGGTTCCGGATTGAATCCAGGCTCTTGCATCACACTTAGATCTCTGGTACTTTGGTCTCTTTTATTTATTTATTTATTTTGGTCTTTTTTATTTGGGCCCAGTGACTAGGCCTGCCTTTGTTTTGCTGACACTGGCCCTTATGAAGAGGGCAGGCCAGTTACTCAGCTTGAGCTTGTTTGATGGTCCCTTTAATGAGCTCAGTTATGCAATTCTGGCAAGAGCACTACATGGTCAGGGCCACCAGCAGATGGATCCTGATTGAATGGGAGAATAATGCAGAACAGAACTCAAATTCTTAAAAAGTTCAGGCTTACTTGACCAGTTGAGACTAGGACTTCAAACCAATTAAAAACAGTTCAGTAATTGCCTGTCGTAAACAAGGGCTGTGTATACACTGTATAGCAACCAACTCTGTTGACTGGTATTTTGACCCAAGTAGGAAGGAAACTGTTAAGTGCTATCAAGTCAGTTCCAACTCATAGCAACCCTCTGTAGGGTTTCCAAAGTGTGGCTGGTATGTTTGAACAGCCTACTTTGGTTAGTAGTCCACTGTTTATCCTACTGTATCATACCAGGACTTCAGGAAATAAGCTAGAGTATTGAAAATGGAACAAATAACACAATAAAAGAGAGAACTGACACATTATGACACATCTGCTCAAGAATGGTGACCAACCAAGTGAACGTCTGTCACTTTCCAGAGTCCTGTCTGTAATCCATTCTCCTGCCTTGCGGCCCTTACACTTTTAGGAGGAAGGGCTGTGGCTGGACTTTTGGGAAGCAATATTATTGGCAAGACTCTGGAAAGCAATATATACAGTCAAAGTAGTGCGCTATCTGAGCAGGGCACAGTTGTTTGCTTCCTACTTGGATCAAAATACCCCAGGCATTTTGGCTGCTTTGCAATGTGTATGTGAACCTTGCTTGTGACAACATTAACTCAAACATTTTGAACCAGTTCATAGCCCTGGCTGAGGCTAGAAGACTATCTCACACTGTTGCCCTGAGATACTCTTTAAACCTTGAACTGAAACTTTCCCCTGAAGTCAGTGAAATAACAGATTGGCACGCAAAATAAACGCCTTTACCTTTGAGTACGGTGCTCCATTAAAAAGTCATCTATATGAGACCACAAGTTACTCTTAAACAAAGATGAGAAGGAAAGTGGGCAGGGGAAGAAGAGTACTGAAAATGGAACCACCAGAATGCAAATGAAAGAGAATGCTGCCACACTGAAAATGTAACGAACGTCACTGAATAACTTGTGTAGAAACTGTCAAACAGCAACTTTGTTTACTGTGTAAACTTTCACCGAAAACAGTAAAATATTTAAAAAGAAGAAGAAAGAACAGCACATAAGCAGTGGTGTGGCCCTTGCAGTCCATCACATTAGGATGGACTCTAGGCTTCTTCCTGGTGAAGTGGTTATTTTCCCTTTTGTCATTAAGGAGTAATGACATTAAGGATTTCTTCGATTATCCACCAAAGCCTCAGTTAATCCATGGCTAATACAGTCACACATTTGAAGCAGCTGTTTCATCGTTATCCTTGTCAATATTTACCTCCTTATAGTGAGTTGGTCTAACTCCCAGATCTTCACTGCTGACTGGCAACTGGCTTTGAGGAATCTTACCACTTGTGTGAGATGCACAGTTAGACCTTACAAATGATTTGCTCTGTATTTTCACTATGTGATAGACACTTTAAGAGGGACCACAATCAGTGAAAACGAGACCCGACAAAGACGGTACAGTGCTGGTACCAGGGTGAGGTGATGCAGTGCTCGTCACTTCATCACCGAACACTCTTCATGCTATGATGCCTCTGCTTACCCAGACAAGCTTATAGCCCTGAGGAGCCTGAACAAAAGTATATGAATTCTTCTATTTCATAACAGCAATTCCAGCTATGTTGTTCCCTATTCCTTTTAACTTACAAAACTAAGGAGCTATGCTCTCCTAACACGGATAAATTAGAATCCCCTGCATAACTAGAATGCATAACATTACTGACAGACCTTCCACCACATCTATTTGGTAACAAATGCTCCTTACCTCTTAAAACGTGCTGGTAGCTGGACAACAGAAACTGTAGATGATCAACCAGCTCATCCCAAATCTGCCACTGGGCTTTATCTGACTGTGGAGACAGGAAATGCCGTGGATGACAAATGCCTTTCTCAATTTGAGGCTTGATAAAAATTTTAAGTCACTGTTATATAATGTTCCAATCGCACTATGTCAAACTTAAAAACTTGTGAGCAGGACTAGGGTACTTTGAACTGAAAGTGAAGCAGAAGAAAATGTACCTGACATTTGAGCAGTGAGGTGGAATTGTTCAGAAAGTAGAGGGCCTGGGCCAGAGACAAGGGCAGGCGCGTGGGCGTCTCACAGCTGTGGAGGAAGATGATTTCTAGCACTTTGCAGCGCAGAAGGTGGCTTTCCATGGTAGTAAAGAACATCTCCCTGTGTGGAGAAGAGGAGAAAGGAGTTAGCCTTTGCAGAAGTTATTTCAAGGAGCAGGTACCATCGTTTCCCTTGGAACATCCTTACATTTGCTCTGAAAAAAATATGGCTAAGAAGGATTAGTCCTGGTATGGCTCTGTTGGTTAATGTGCCAGACTGCAAAGCCGTTTGAACTTCAAGGTCGGCGGTTCAAGCTCACCAGCTGCTCCTCGGAAACCCTATACAGGGTCACTATGGGTCACAATGGACTCTATGGCACTTAACAACAACAAAAATTAAGGAATGGAGGTCAACAAGTTCACAGAGCCTGTGGACAGATTTGTTCAAGCATCTAAACTGTCACAAGGAGAGAGAAGTCTTTGACATCTGAAATAGCCAAGTTAAGGACATGCTAAAAAGAAAGCCTTCATACCATAACAAAGGGAATCATGAGAACAAACACAGGCCTCCCCTGAAGATGCTATGGGTTCAGTTGCAGACCACCTCAGTAAAGTGAATAACGTCACAAGCTAGTCACATGAATTTTTTGGTATCCAACTGCATATAGCAGGTTTACATCAAATTATATTCTACTAATTATACGATACCATTATGAAAAAGTTTGAAATATTGTGACAGTTACCAAAATGTGATGACACAGAGGCACAAAATGTGCACATGCTGTTGGAAAACTGGTGCCAATGGACTTGCTGGAGGTAGGGTTGCCACCAATCTTCAATTAAAAAAAAAAAAAAACCATTGAAGTATCTAGGAAGTGCAATAAAGCAAGGTATACCTTTATTTCTGAGTGCCTAAAATATGCCTGCAAGGAGCCCTGGTAGCATAGTGGGTTACACATTGGGCTATTAACTGCAAGGTCAGTAGTTCAAGTCTACTCTGAGGGCGACATATGAGGTTTTCTGCTCCTGTAGAGTTATAGCCTCAGAAACCCTACACAAGGTTGCTATGAATCAGAACCAACTTCTTGGCACACAATCACTACCATAATGTGCTTGCATTTACCATCATCTGTCTGTCGGTGGAAGCTTGTATGGTCCTACTATGATGCTGAACAGGTTTCAGTGAAACTTCCAGATTAAGACAGACAAGGAAGAAAGGCCTGGAAATCAGCTAATGAAACCCCTATGGCTCACACTGGTCCTATCTTGTTGTGCATGGGGTTGCCATAAGTTGGAGACCAATTTGAAGGCACATTACAACAACAAGAAACCATGACATAATGTACCAGATACAGTTTGGCACATGAAACATTAAGAGAAGTCAAGAGAATATTGCTCTTTAAAGGTGCTGACTGAACAGGGGCAAAGAGTCTGCAACAGAAACTGAAGTAAAGTGCAGGGCAAATGCCAGAGGTGCTCTGGAGACACCAAGTAGAGAGGTTAATCTAGTCAGGGAGGGAAGAGGCTTTCTTACCGGAGAGCAGGCATGGGTGACAGCAGTCTAGGAGGAGCAAAGAAGGCTCAAGGCAGGTGGCATGGGAAGAGCCTGGGTAAAATCAAGTAAAAAGTATCCAGTGGCAGCACTGTGGCTTTTTAAGTATCAGTCTGGGACATGGGAGTTCTTTGTCCTTGGTTTTGTCTCTCTACCTAGTACAGGTCTTGACCAGCAAGGGTGGGCTGGAGCACCTTCAAAGGCTTCTGAGTAGAGGACTAGCAAAACTGAGTTGCACATCAGGATGGCAGTCTTAAAGTAATGCCAGCTTCCAGAAAAGACGAGTTGGTCTCAGCAGCATGAGGACACCTCTGGGTGGCCTGATGGCTTTTGTTTGGTCATCCTTGCTAGGTTTGCTAGTCATAGCAGTCCTAGGAAGATGAAAACTTGTAAACAGACACAACTGTCCTCACAATCTTAAGTCTACTTTCTCTTCTGCATTTGACCTATTACCTTCACAAGACAGTTTTCCTACTCAAAAACCTTTTATTTCAAACTGTATTTTTGCATCCAATTTTTATTCTAGAGCTTGCATTTATCCTGGCCTTATAATCCACAGATGGCCAACTCAGAGATCCACACAGGATAAGGAGCAAGGAGGAACAGCATGGGGCATGACTTACCAAGTGAACAAGTAACTGAGCTGACCCCAGATCCAAGGGTTCTTTCTCTGACAATATCCTATCCCTTTGCAAATCCGCAACACTTAACTTTGCAACAAGAGAACACCCTGAGCCCCTGCCACTTATCAAAATGACAAATAAATACGTATTTGTTTTCTTTTCCCCTTTCTTCTCATTATCTTTACTTTTCTACTGGGCATATAATATTGTTCATGTAAAAACAAAGTTAAAAAGGCAGGATGAATAGTTTTGTATTTTTCTTACTATTCAAAACTTTTCAAAGCCTAAAATACTTGTAAAAATCTGTTTGATTTCTTTTCTTTTCTTTTTTTTAAATTAAATGTTTTTATTTTGCATTGAGTGAAAGTTTACAGGGCACATCATCAGCTTCACATTCAACCATTCATATAGCTTGTTTCATTACATTGATTATTATCCCCACCATATATCATCAGTTTACAGTGTTTCTCTCTATCCTCTTTAGCTTTTTTTTTTTTGGTTGGGGGGGGACTTGGCTTATTGGAATTTACAGTCTCGGCTTTTAGGGGAGGTTTTTACATTTGTCTGTGGATATCCAGGGCTCACGTATGAGATTACTAACAAGCATTACTGAATAATCAGATGAGGGACTGTTTGTTATGTCTACTAGGTGGCTAGAGTCTGATCCTCAGAGCCTATGGTTTGGACAGTCAACGCTTGGGCCCACAGGGGCTTGGCCTCCTGACCGGGTCTGTGCTGTCTGCATCTGAGTCCTCCTTTTTTATTGATTGTTTAAGGGACGCTGCCTGTCTTAGGTGGTCAGTGCGAATCCCTCAGTCTTACCAGTCATTGAGACTCATTGCAGCATGGCAATGTCTCTGTCCCAAGTAGCCGAGGTTCCACGTGATCCTTACCCGTCTCTGGCCACATGTCCAGCATAAACAGCCGCCATCCGAGGAAGGCAGGGAGGGAGATCAGCTGGGGACCCCATGCGCCCGACGTTGCCGGCCCACCACCTGTTCTAAGGTGACCAAGCAGGATCACTATGCTGAGGTTCAATCCAGTTCCTAGGGGATCTTATTCTCTAGCATGGGTAGCAAATGGGTAGCCACGCAGTGTTCACTTTGAGAATTACTTATATCATAAAATTGAGCGTGTAGCTGATGAATATCCCCAGACAAGTGTATATTGTTCCACAACCTCCTACAATGCTGTTGGATTAAGTTCCAATTAATTTCTGGGTTACTGATGTTTGATTTCTTTAATGTGCACTTTTCATCCTTTGCTATATCTTCTCTGACAGAGCATCTTCTAAATATAAAGAAATTCACATTACTACATTTACAAGAATCCTCAGATTCTTTAAAAATCTAATTTCTACTTTGCATTTGGACTACTGTGCATAAAACAAGACAGTTAGCTTATCCAATAACCTTTCAGTTCAATTTGTATTTTCACATATTTCTATTCCAGGGCTTGCATTTATCCTGGTTTATAATCCACAAATGGAAACTTTAAGAGATCTACATAGGAAAAGCAGCAATTCAGTGTATTAGTCATGGTAGGAACTGGAGGTAGGCAATTCAAATTTAGATTTTTAAATAAAAGTACGAGGAAAGTCCACCTTCTAGTTTCAGCCTGAAGAGAGTAACTGGTGGTATAAACAATGATAAAATCTGGGCTAAATACATGCAACCACTCTTTACAGGCACCGGACCACATACTAAACAGGGCCAGGATTCTTGAGAGAAGGGAAACAAAGCTCCATATTTACCCCCACTTGCTTTCTGGGGAACTTTGTAACCAAGGTAGAGGAAAGTGGGCCCCAAACAGAGAACAGTGGAAAGTACTGGAAACAGAAATTGGGACTTAGGACAGCTGAGGTGGCTTAATTTTGTATCATAGGAGAGGGAGCTCAAGAAATGTGTGTACCACGTGTGCAAGGAAAATCTCCAAAATTCTGTTAGGAAACAGCTATTGTGGGGCTTGAGTTGAATGGAGATTCTGGGGCTTGCACCATGCTGAAAGACAACAGGTGTTCCAATGTGCCAGAGGCTAAAGAGCTCACTGAACATCTTGGGTATTCAATTGAGGCTCCTGAAAGACTAAACCTTAGATTCTATTTCTGTTAAGGGCTGTTTTAGACCACCCCAAGGAGTGTTGGTGTGGTGCTGTGGGTTAATGTGCCAGACTGCAAATCTGTTTGAATTGCAAGGTTGGCAGTTCAAGCTCACCAGCTGCTCCTTGGAAACCCTATCTATACAGGGTTGCTATGGGTTGGAACCAACTCAATGGCATTTAACAATAACCACCACTACAACAGAATACAGAAACGACTGCAATCATCCATTGACAGAGAACTTTCAGGGGTTCAAGCCGGATGCAGAAGAGACAGTGGAACCAGGGATATCATTGCTGATGTCTGATGGATCTTGGCTGAAAGCAGAGAATATCAGAAAGAAGTTTACCTATGCTTTATTGACTACGCAAAGGTTTTCGATTGTGTGGATCATGACAAGCTATGGACAACATTGCGAAGTATGAGTATTCCTGAACACTTAATTGTGCTCATGAGGAATCTGTACCTGGACCAAGAGGCGGTTGTTCGAACATGGGAATACGGAATGGTTTAAAATTAAGAAAGGTGTGCGACAAGTTTGCATTCTTTCACCATACTTATTCAACCTGTATGCTGAGCAAATAATCTGAGAAGCTGTGTTCTATGAAGAAAAAAATGGCATCAGGATTGGAGGAAGACTCATTAAAACCTGCGATATGCAGATGATACAATCTTGCTTGCTGAAAGTGAAGAAGACTTAAAACATTTACTGATGAAGATCAAAGACCACAGCCTTCGGTATGGACAACATCTCAAATGTTTTATACCATACCTGTCTCTCCTTCTGTATGTGAAACATTTACAAGTCTAATAAATCTAAAAAATCCTAACTATAGAAAAGAAATACT